GGGTGCTCTTTACTACAGGAATGAGTAAGTAAAATGTGGTGTTTATATACCATAAGATACTGTCCAGCATCCAGAAGCAATAAAAGAATATTAAATATGGCAGCATAGGTGAATCTCTGAATGTATGTTAAAAACATTAAATTTAAAAATTAAAAAGTTAGCACTTTTCAAAGTATAATGTAATTTAGGCAAATTAAAAACTGATGCACATATAAAATAGTACCATTTCTGTTTCAAGGAATCACATAGAACTAAAGGAATCTGAGCTTAGAGCATATCAGTAATAGAATGGTGCCCATAGTAAGGGGGCTAATAAACAGAGTTAAGATGGAAGACGAATGGGAAGATAATAAAAACTTAAAAGAAATATCTTTGCATTGACAGTATACACTGGGATATATAACTAATTTAACATCCTGTACTAGAGAATGAAAATATATAAATTACTTAGCTATATTTCCTGAATTCTAACTTATATAATGTATGACACTTTCCCATATATATTTATATTATAGTCACAGGACTTAGTAGGCTTGCATTATTTTCTCAAGGATTATTCCATTGGCCCCTCATCCTCAGTGATATCTATCTACCCAATGATACCCTTCAAAATACAATTTATGTTTTCCCCTATAAAACCTTTTAAATTCTTTCATTTATATGAATATCTTTCTGAAATCAAATGCTTTTATAAGTTGTTCTAAGATGTCTAAGACTTAAGAATACCTAAGTTCTGTACTGCCCTGTATTATTCTTTGCCCAGGGCTTCCTCTCTAGGCATTAATTTCTTAGAGACCAGAGACTTTTTAAAAGGTTCTTGTTATGCCTAGGGCAGTGCTGTATATACAAAAAGATCTTAATAAATATGTTAATAGGTTTTTCTGTGTCAATTAAAAATCCACTTACAATTGTGGTGGCAAGAGAGGATGGGTAGGATTATAAAGAAAATTGAAACAATTTATTATTTTGCAATTGGAAAGTAGTTGTGAAAGTGCAGAATGGAAGTTCCTTTTAGATTTAGAAGACCTTTTGGAACTAGAGGAAGATAGAGATGGAATAATCCATATCACACTAACCCGAGAAGCACTCCAACAATGGAAAGAAAAAGAGAAACAGTTTGCTTTAGGTGTCTCTCTGTTTCAAGGCTCCCTTCTCTTTTCTTAATGCTTTCTTATTTATGGCATATTTGCCTCAGTAAATCCTACCACTGACAGCCTTTTTTTTTTTCTGACTATCTCAGGCCACAAATATTTAGAGAATTCTGTTTTTACTTCAATCTGAAAGTAAAATTACTAACATCCAACTCTAAATGTGCTGCATCAATTTAGAACACTGTTCAAAAGAGTTTTCTCTTTAAAGGGAAATATATTTCTATTTTTTTTTGGTGAAAATTATCACTTATATTTCCAAATATATGAATTATTTTTTATACACTAACCTAAGATGTGTCATGGTGTTTTACTGGATGTGGAGGTGAGAAATACCAGTGAGGTTGACAAATTGAGCTATGTCGCCAATGAGACTTAAAATCCCATTTAGCTGTGCTTTAAGAAGATATGTGTAGCTCTCTGAGCCCCTTGGAAAGTGAATAGAAAATGTGGCAATGGTGGTTAAAGGGTACATCATGCAAAAGAGAAAGAGGTAATAAAACAAGGGTTGAGTATCTATTTTAGCTACTTCCTAGGTTTATGACCTGGACCAAGTTAATGAAACATTCCTTTTTGTATGATAAGAAGACAGGAAGTTCTCTTTATTACCAACTCATAAGATTACTTGGCTTTAAGAACTTAGAAACCTAAGTGAGAAAACTGAGCTCTATTTTAGTAATTCCAGTGAAGAAATGGGCCCGAAACATGGAAAGTAATCAATATATGTTTGTTGAAAGAATTCATAAAAGAAAAAATGGTATAGACTAGAGGGGAAATTAAATCACAAAAAGCATCAAGAAGACAGACTTACAGGTCAGTAGGTTGAACGGGAGACTTAGGAAGGCAGAGAGGAATATGTCTTCTTTTTCAGGAGTCAGTACAAGGAAAAAGCTTCAGTAACCAAGGTAGCCATAGCATAAAAGTTCTGTGAGCCCCATGCTTATAGAAAAAACCAACAAGCATATTTTAGAGAATTAAAATTCCTAGTACAAATGTTAAGTGACATAAATCAAACACACAGCTTAAATACCATATAGTATCTCTCGTTTGAGTAAGGGAAAGTACAAAGAACATAATAAGAAGAGCCCAGGAGACCAAGGTCAAAAGGAGAGGGGGAGAGAAAGGGGAAGTAAGTAAAATTGTGCCATGTACAGGATCCTAATAACTTGAATTATTAAACGTTGAATGTTATGAATATGGCTAAGATTAATAATACCAACAAGAATGAAAATGGGGAAAGGGATCTGGACATGGAAGCACACACACCTGGATCCTAGCACCTGGGAGGCTGAGGCAGGAGGATAGCCAAGAGTTAAAGGCCAGCCTGGGCTACATAATGAGTTTAAGACTAGTCTGAACTACTTAGAAAGACCATCCCCCCCCCCAAAAAAAAGGAAAAGGGGATTTAGAGGTGGGTGGAAAGGGGATTAAAAAAAAAGAAACCAACTATATTATGTACATATACCTACTCCCCAAGATAAATGTAAACTTCCTGTACTAAAAACAGACTAAGAAAAAGAGTCTGCATTTGAGGCAGCTAGAAGAAAGGCAAGGCAGGGGAATAATGAGTTCCATGAAACCACTATAGGCTTTGGAATTAGGGCAAGTACTACCATTCACTAATGGCTTGAATAATGACAAAATTTCATCTTTCAGCGGTATCTGTAAACATATTTTAATTCTGAAAAGTGAACACTATAATGTCATATTTGTAAAATTGTTTTTGAATATTGAAAAAAAATATATGTATAGGAGGTAAAACATACTTAATATTAAGAAAAAAGACCATTTCAGTCCAGGAGAGCTAAGTAGTCCGCATGGCTGTCCTCTGGCCCGCTAAGTCCAGAATCTCAGAAGACCAGAAAAGCCAGGTCAGAACAAGGGGAAGAGAAGAAGGAAGCAATTCAATATGAGGTTCACTTTAAATGACTAATGACTCCATACAAGATTTGGAATGTATCACATTGAAAAGCAGTTAGAGGGCCAGGGATTTAGCTTAGTGGTTCTGATGCTTGCCTCGCAAGCACAAGGTCCAGAGTTCAATCCCCAGTACCACACACACACACACACACAAAACACCCAAAAACAAAAACAGCAGTTAGAGCATCTTCCCAATAAAAGACACACAACCTTAAATTTTGATTACTTGTTTAAACAATACCTTCATATGAGTGGAGAGTACAAAGAATCTTGCTGCCTAAAGGTTATTGCTTTGTAAGATGCATACTTTTAACATTGATAACGTTACATATGATGTCAAAAGTTTTCAGCTGAACAGAACAATGATAATTAATCAATTAAATTTTATGTAAGTTTTGTTACAGACAACATATTGATACTAATAACTTGCCAGTACTTATCATGGAGATCACGGAGACAACAATATGGCTTGCCACTACTTAGAGACAAAAAAATATGGTTTATTACTTGTTCAATCATGTTTTCAAAGAAACTTAGTTCTGGTAAAATGTGTTAAGACCGTTTAAGCAAAACCATTAAAACAGCTTGAATTAGTTTTGAACTTATCCCCAAAAGTATTTACTAGGATAGAAACATGTCTCTGTAGTTGACAGATTTAAACTTTGGTCCGTTTTAATGTTACCTCAGCAGTTATCAAACCATTTTGATCCCATGGCTATAAAATAAAAGTTCAGGGCCGGCCATGAGTAGAGTAAGACAGATGGACTGGATTTCACTTCGTAATTTTTGACCACGCTTTCATGCTGAGGAAATTCTTTTCAAGGGTTTAGATTCCTAGAGCAATCTCAGTCCCAGGATTCCATGTAGATTGTGTGAGATTTCTCTAGGAAATGTCTTAACTCATGAAGCTGTTTGCGAACATGAAGTCTAGGGGATACACTGCGGCAAATGTCCTAGACCAAGGAGGGGAAAACAGAGCGTGCTGCACAAAGAGTGGGACGTCGGTCTGGTTTGCTTGTTTGCTTAGGAGTCCGCTCTGAGGGATAGGCAAAGAGACATACTTGCATTGAGTGCGGATGGGGAGCCCGTAAGATCTGGAGACACTCTCAATAGGAGAATAACATGAGACGTAAAGCGAGGCTGGAAGCAAACAAAGGAACTGTGGAGTCACAGAGGCGAGTTCAGGCAGCTCAGGCTTCCCTCAGAAGGTGACAGGGCAGCAGCCTGCCTGGGCGAGCCCGGGGG